ATCCAAAGTAAATGAAAACACTAACTTGAAAAAGATTTCTGTAGCACCCTCTTCAATGTAGCATCATTGGCAAGAGCCAAGTATTGTTTCCATATCTTGAATCTTGCAAATAATCCAAGTGTCTGTTGATGGGTGAATGGATACACTGTCTCTCTCACACACAATGGAATATTATTTAGCCATAAAAAGAATGAAATCTTCTGAATTGGAGAAAATATGTGCACATCATATATCTGACAAGGGACTGATATCAATGATCTACAAAGAGCTTATACAACTCAACAAACACAAAACAACCCCTATCAAAAATGCATAGAAAAGCCACACAGGCACATGCAGATGGCCAACAGACATGAACAAATGCTCACCATAACTTACCATGAGGAAAATGCAGATCAAAACCACAATGAGATACCATCACACCTGTGAGGAGGGTCCATATTAAAAAAAACACAACAAATGCTACTGAGGATGTAGAGAAAAAGGAACCCTCTTACACTGTTCGTGTGAATGTAAGCTGGTCCAGCCCCTAGGGAAAGCTATGCAGAGGTTCCTCAAAATACTAAAAATGAACCAACAACCCCACAACTAGCTATCTACCCAAAGAACACAAAAACACTGATTTGAAAGGAAACTATATTTCCCTTTATTTATGCACTTTATGCACTCCTATATTTACAGCAGCACTATTTACAATATCCAAGATACGGAAAGAACCCAAATACCCCCAAACAGATGACTGGATCAAGAAGATAGGGAACATATACACAATGGAATATTACTCAGTGATGAAAAATGGTAAACTCATGCCATTTGCAGCAACACGAATGGAGGTGGATGGGATTATACTAAGTCAGTCAGAAGGAGAAAGATAAATATCATCTGGTTTCACTTATATGCAGAATATAGAGTAACCAAACAAAAGGTCAGACAAAGACTGACTTGGAAAGCTGACCATATCACTCAGGCATTGAGGAGGGGAGAGGGAGAGGTGAAAACAGGAGGGGAAAGAGCATATTGGACTATGACTGAGCCTCCCAGAAGGGGAGCGTGGTGGAGTTGAGCAAAGGGGAGGGAGGGTCCAGTGGAGGATTACTGGGGCTTTGGTAGTGGGTGTGGTGAAATAACATATCTGTAGAGGTGTCCACCTATACCCCTCAAACATATAAATCAACATTACCTCAATAAATGTAACTTAAAAAAATAAAACACAAGAGAACAACATAAGAAAATTTAGATCTTGCCATTTGTAACATGGATGGATCTCAAGGGTATCATGCTAAATGAGGTAAGACAAAGAAAGACAAATTACTGCAATCACATTTATATGTGGAATCTAAAAACACCCCTCCACAACCTCCGTTCCCCCCCCCACCCCCTCCTGCCAGCTCCTACACAAAGAATAGGTTGGAGGTTGTCTGAGGTGGGGGTAGGAACGGGTAGGGAAAATGGCAGAAGGGATCAAAAGGTACAAACTTTCAGTTACAAAATCCACACAAGACAAGAAAGGGAGGGAACAACAGTTAAAACAACTGTTCTAATTGTGTTTTGAGCACCTACTGGGTGTGGAGCACTGGATTAGTGTAGAAAAAAGGATTTTTAAATCAAGGTTAGTTTCTCAAAATGCATCTTTTCTTGTATGAAGCAGTAGGCAAAGGAGAGACAGTAACTGGCCAATAGGCTAGAGGATTACATGTATCATTTTCTGAATGAAAGGAAAAACACAGGGCCTGGCAGGTAAAATAAAAAGACGCCCTGAAGGCCCATCTGTGAGAACATGTGACTAGGAAATTCTCAACAAGCAGAGGCTGAGGACTCTAAAGGACAAAAAGGCAGCTGCAGAGATTTTTAAGCCAAGGGCTAGATTTCCACATGGGGTGAGGGAAACCCTCCCTGTCAGGTGGGACCAACAGGGCTTTCCTCAAGAGCTTCTCCACACAAGACAAGAAAGGGAGGGAGCAATATACAGTCCTGGTGGGAGTGACTGCCAATCAGTGGGTTCTAGTAATTTCCTTTGTTGACTGCTGGGATGATTCCTGTTGCAGGCCACTCCCTCCACTGCCCATTGTCTTTCCTAAGTCCAGGGTGTGGAGGCCTCCCCTGGGGGAGCCTAGTCTTTCAAGGCCAGTCTTCAGGCTTTTATTCTCAGGGCTGGAGAGAGTCCACCGCTGCTCCCCCTCTGTTAAGGGGTGGGGCTCATACCCTTCCTCTTGCTTACTGGGGCGGCAGGCAGGGTGAGGGCTGAGCGGGTCAGCACCCACAGAAGGAGCGCCTCCATCCATTCCCAACCAGCGTAGCCTGGGCCTCCTGTCACTGTTATTAAACACTTGAAAACTGTTATATTAGGAGAAAGATGCTTGTATTAGCTATGGAGTGGGTCAAGGAGGATTTTCTTTGGCTTTTTCTCTAGTTCACTGGGTCGATTACTAATGTCAACCTGAGGGCAATAACAGAGATGAACCGACTTTAATGCCATGACAAACGCACTAGTCTTTCAGATGGGGGTCTCCTTGCTGACGCGTAGTGAGACGGGTTCTAACTCAGGAGGTGTGGGGTTCTGTGCACAGCCTCATCTGTAGCTGCTCTGGGTTTACAGGCTTGTATCCCTGGAGGTTGCCAGAGACGAGGGGCCCTAGTAGAAGGACCAGGACACAGGTTTAAAAGTGAGGAAACCTGGATGCTGAGATCCTGAGCAACACAGCCACCTCTGGTGTTTAGCTCTTTGGCAAGAGTGATTCTCAAACTGTGGTGCCTGGGCCAGGGGTGTCAGCATCATTTGGGGATCTGCTAGAAATGCAAGTTCTCAGGCTCACCCCAGATGTACAGACTCAGACGCCCTGGAGGTAGAGTGCAGTGATCTGGGTCTGAACTGCCCTCCAAGTGCTTCTGGTGCAGGAGGAAATGTGAGAACCCAAGAGCTGGAAGAATCCATTCTCCCTCTGGGTATAACCCTGCCAGGCTCATAGTACCCAGGTCTTCAAGGGGAAACCTGGAAGCTCAGCAGGGATAGATCCTCCTCACCCCCATAGGGGCTGAAGGATGAGTTGGGCTCATCTGTGGCTGAAGAAGGAGCTCAGTGGGTGGATGAATCCAGGCCAGATTTGAGACTGAGTTTAACAGGGGTTAGAGTGTCTAGAGACCAATTCAAGGTTGGCTCTGGCTGTGCCCCTGCCAGTCAGCAGGGGACCGAGTGGCTGGGACTGGAGGGGTGTGGGGTCTTAGGCTTTGAATGCAATTCTCTTTGATATAAGACAACATTCTCTACAGTGTTGACCATAAAACTCTACGCCTTAGAATTAACGATCATTTGGCTCATTGCACTGATGAAAAACTTTTGAAGAACCTGGGATGGGAGGGGGATATGGTGAACCCTACAGGGAGCTGGCGAAGGCAGATCCAGGTTTTGTGGGGCCTGAAGCCTATATAATTTTGGCGACTCTTTAAGAAAAAGAACCCAAAAATGTATTAGGTTTGCAGATTTTACCAAAACACATGGCTGGAGCCCTTGCTGGGCCTCAGAAAGGCTTGTCCAATGAGGGGCCTGGGGTGGAAGCTCCTTCAGCCCCACAGTCCAGGGCCAGGATGGGCACACATCACTCCCCTGCGCGCTGGGTCCAGACCGTGTCCTGCCACAACTGGATGCCCTGGGTCCAGAAGCTCACTGGACAGCTTTTGGCATCTCTTCCCCTGCAGCCTCTTTTTCTCTTTGATTTCATTTTGTTGTTTGCGGTTACTAAACTAGGCCATAGACATAAGTCTGCAGGCACAGGTGGGGCAAGACCTCTTGCTGTATTTCATGTCTCAGAGGCAAAGTAACACCAGCACCAAGAAGAATCAGGCTTTGGCCTAGTGGTCTGGGAGTGACCACCACTGCTCGTATTTTCCTGATATTTTCAAACAATCATTGACACCCCTCTCTGCCAAACCTGCCCCCCATTCTGCCATTCCAACCAACAGCATCGCTCCCCCTGAAGTCAGGCCAGTCTGAAAACTCCCAGGATCTCAGGTGAATTGCCTCAGGCACACAAGCGGGAGCAGGCAGTGCAAGCAGCCCCAGTGCGGCTCAGCCTCAGGGCACTTCCTCACTCTACACGCTCCCTGGCAGCAAGACATTGCTTCCCAAAGGAGCGAGAACGTCTGGAACTTTTTAAGTCCCAAGAAGTTTACTAGGGAATGGAACGCAGCGTCGCTCGGCACCAGAGCCTGACCTTCAGCCTTCCCCAGTGTCATTCTCCTTTAATGACACACAAGTGAACCCAGCTCTGTCCTGGGAGAGGACATTCCTGGTGGCCAGTCATCAGCACTGTGCAGGTGCTGAAGGGAGCCCAGAGAGACTCCTGTGACCAGCAGCCCTCCCCACACCGCCTGCCTCCACTGCTGCTTTGTTCCCGGCCTTTGATACTCTTGGCAGTTTCCTCAGATTCCCTTTTGGCTCACAACCGAGGTCTTGAAAACCAGAGCCAGCTCCTGGCGAGCCTGCTAGCTGCCCCTCAGCTGCTGCCCTGCCTTCCTCCTTCCTCAGAGCCACTCTGGGGCGGAAGCTGTGCCTCAGGAGAGCTGCTGCCACACACTCATAAAACCACCATATGATCCGGTCATCCCGCTTCCGAGTATGCATCCAAAGGAAACAAAGACACCGACTCAGACAGATCGCTGTACCCTATGCGCAAATAATTAAAAAACAATGCAAACGTGGCATTATTTCCAACATATTGCCGAGATGCAGTATCGACCGAAGTGCCAGCGATGGATGAATGGATAAAGAAAATGCATATAAACACACACAACCCAGCCGTATCGTTCAGTCATAAAAATGAATGAGATCCTGCCACTGGTGACAATATGCATGGACCGCGAGGGCACTTAGCGACGGAAGACAAAGACGAATGCTGGGTGAGCTCACTGGTAAGTAGAACCTTAAGCGAACAAGCCCCGAGCTCAGGGTGCAGAGAGCAGACGGGTGGCTGTGGGGGCGGCTCACACACCAGAGCTGTGCTCACCTGAGGACAGGAGACTCCCGCTGCTGCCGCTGATGATCTTCCCCTTGCTCCCCATGTTGGCCAGCTTGGAGGTCTTCAGGGTTCCTGTCTCTGTCAGGTCAATGGCGATCTCGCTCAGACTTCGCGCAGCATGGATTTTAGACTAGTGTGGGAGAGGAGACCAGGTAGTGAAGGGGACATTCACCTCTGAGCAAGAATACAACCACCCCCTGGCTTGTCATCCTGAAGTTTAGCAAGTTGCTTTATCGCCCCTCTTGCAGTGGTTTTTTTTTTTTTTTTTTTATGACTCTGCCCCTGCCCCATCACCAAGAGCTCTGCAAGAGCAGATAGAGCTGAAGCATTGTCCCAGTCTGGGCCTCCCTGGTGGCGCAAGAGGTTAAGAGGCAACCTATGAAGCTATTCAAGCCACTGTAGCATGAGTTTGATCCCTGGCCAGGGAGCTACCCACATGGCACGGCAGACCTCTCCTGTCTCACCTGCTGCTCCCTCAGCAGTGTATTTCAGTCAATCCGCCTGTTCTGTTCCCCACTCTGTCTCTGGAGAGTCCTCTCACCCTCACACCTCTGGCCTGTACCCCAGTTCTTGTATGCATAAGTAAATAAATCTTTAAAAAAAAAAAAAAGAAGTGTCCCAGTCTGTTATTCCACGGGTTGCATTGCGCTTAAGAGCACAGGCTCTGGAGTCGGACAGGCGCGGCTGAGGTCCTGATTTTGTGAAAGTGACCTAACCTCACTGAGTCTCATTCCCAAGTATTACTCCGGGAAACTGCACCTACAGCTCCAGACTTTTGTAGGGTCAGAGGAGGGAAGGCGCGTGAAAGGTTCTCTTCCCTCCCTGCTCCTCTGTCTGCTTCTCAACACATAGTGCTGATTATAATTACTTTGTGCTTAAAGAAGGAGAAAAAAATCATCATCTTTGTGAATGATTTAAGAGATATTTGGACAAATTCATGAAGTTCCAATGAACTTGGAAGTGATGTAAATCTCTTTTTTAAAAAATTTATTTATGCATACAAGAACTGGGGTACAGGCCAGAAGGTGTGGGAGGTAAGAGGATTCACCAGAGACAGAGTGGGGAGCAGAACAGGCAGACACACCGAAATACACTGCTGAGGGGAGCAGCGGGTAAGACAGGAGAGGTCTGCTGCACCATGTGGGTCACCTCCCTGGCCGGGGATGGAACTCGTGCTGCAGAGGCTGCGGACGGCTTCACAGTGCTGTATCTTAACCCCTTGCGCCACCAGGGAGACTCTGATGCAAACCTCTTAAGTGGAGCGCTGTGGATGGCTCAGAGGACTGAGCTGCTCTCGGCCTACAAGCACAGTGTGACCTGTGGAGAAGCCTCGGGACAGCTGTTCTTTTGGGAACTCAAATCCCCCAGGCAGTGCCCGACTTGGCACTCTGCTGCTGATTTGATATCTAAATGTCTGTGCCAAAGTCTTCAGCTCATGGGAAAACTCCACTCCATTTATTCCATGTATTAATTGGTCTGATTTGGCTGACAGTTACAGCAGGTTAGAATAATTAGAAAAGGACTGTGCATTCACAATTATATCCCGAAAGGAATTGTGTGTAGGAAAGCTTCTCTCCACTGGTAAGTGAAATGGGCTTGCATTTCCTCTCTTAGGAAATCAATATTTGTGATCATATTTAAGGCAACTGACTTCACCTATACCATGAATTTTATGAAAAACAAACATAAATGCTACTCTAAGCTATATGTTGGCTAAACTTCCCAGGGCCACTGCTGTCTTGCACACATGGATAGAGCCAGGTGAGGGTCACAACTGTGGGGGTCACAACTGAAGTTTTCAGTCACTTTTGTACCTTCGCATCTGGTTCATTAAGACCAGCTCCTTGCCACACTCAGGAGAAAGCTGGCAGAGAGGAGTTAATGAAGGCCACAGAGGGTCACCATTGGCCTGCTCACCCTTATTACACTGTCCCTTTGTGCCCAGGTGCCCACAAAGGCTGTCTGAAGCTCCATGACCTCACCCTTCCTCCAGCCTCCATACTGTTGCCAACACTGGTGAAAGATGATGACTTCCGGTCACTAAGCACTTCCCTGATGTCAACAAGATCCAAGTGCAAGGGGCAGAGGAAATGCTGGGACTTTGCTTGTTTTGTTCACCAGGTATGAAGGGCCTTCCTCCTCTCTCTGTCCCACTGATGCTTCCTCCACTGACCCTCAACTTTCATCCCTACATTGTGAACGAAGTCAGCTTCCTCAGGTTCAGCCTTCCCTGCTCATAAAATCCCAGCTGCCAGGCCCTTGTAAGTTCTGGCTCGCAGTGGAGAACAGGAAGTGCTTTTCAGTGCGTGTGGCCACAGCACATCAACAGTACCCATCTGGTTGAGCTTTCTCCTCTATGCAAGCCGGGAAGCACAGCCCTCTGCTCTCTTTCTTTCAGCACCACATTGTTACCAAGGCCCACGCTTCTGGTGAGGTAAGAATAACTCACAAATACACAGGCCATTCAGCATGGTGGGAAGGGCCCAGGACCCAAAGTCAAAAAGATCTAGATTGGAATCTTGGCTAATCTGAATAAATCGCTGTTTGAGCTTGATGTTCAACCTCTTTGATGCCTAGATCCCTGTTTCTATAATGGAAATCATAGAATACATATCAATGACTCGGGATAGGACCAAGTTAGAAAACAAAGGTAAAGGCCATTGGTATTGGAATGGGATATAAACTAGGGTCTGGCAGTAATTTGTTAGATGAGGTTTAATGGATTGATGACTCAACCTGTCATCTTGAGAATTTCATTAATCACAAGACCTGCCCCCTCAGCCCTGCCACACATCATTCTCAGAGGCAGAAAACAAAATATGGAAAAGGGGCCAACAGAGAGAGATCCTTCCCAAGGGAGGCTACATTCTTAGAAGCGTTAGAGACTAACGGGCATCTGTCTAGAATGGAAACATCGCGATGATGGAATGTACAAGGAGAGAGAGCGCTACGAGGAAATGGGTTCTGACAGGAGATGCTTTTGTTTTTCAAAGACAATCTTTTGGACCAACCCAAAATGGACTGCATACTTCTGACCACACAGTTTATTATTACTCATGGGCAAGGTGTTAGCTCCCAGACCCTGCTCTCATGCTGCTTTGCTCTATGTGGACTGAAGACTAGCAGACTAGATCTGGGATGGGAGATGCGGTGGAAGAAGGAGAATTAAGAAGGAAAGATGTTTGGATTGGAGGCCAACTCAAGAAGTCCCCACTTGTAGTGTTCAGAGGGAAAGTATCTAATGTTTATTCTAAACAATTTGAGCTCTCAAATGTTTTCCTCCAAAGTCCAAGAGGCATTCCTTGGTTCCAGGCTTGGGAGGTTGCCAGGATCCAGCTGACACTTCTGATCTTTGGGGTCAGCATGGAGAAGTTACCACTTGTAACTGGTGTCTACACAGTCTGTCATTCTCAATGAGTCACCAACCATGTGGCCTCCATCTTCTTTGGTGATGGAGTGTGTTGTGTACATGTGTGTGGAGAGAGAGAGAGAGAGAGAGAGAGAGAAGCGCACACACAAGAGCGAGCGCCTGGCAAACCCTTCTGAAATGATTTGCACAATGACCCTGAAAGAAAATTAAGTGCCAGGGGAAGAGCATGAGACTTGTTGGCTACCCACCTTCCCTGCTGACTCAAACCACTAGACCACACTTGTTTCTGGATGATAAGCATCACTTGGGAGCCTGGGCTTTGCTGCAGCACTTCAGAAAAAGGAATGGCTGGCATGGCCAGATACAGTAGTGTGAAGCAATGGCTAGTATGCCAGCCAACACTGGCTGTTCTGAAATATCTGGAAGCTTTTCGTCCCAGGCCTGTCAGCCATCACTCACCCAGAGGCCAGCCTGCCCACCGGAGATAGATCACATCACCCTTCTCTAAAGAACGGCATTCCAACAAGGAAAGGTGGTGTAATGTAATTCCTAAGGGTGATTTTATTATGTCTGATTTAATTTAAGGAACTCTTAAAGAATTTAAGCTTTATGCAAGCATTGGCCAGCGAACGGTATGATGAATTATTAATGATAATAATAAAAGATAGCATACATCTCCTAAAGCTATTTTACAGACATGTGTCATCAGGAATTCCCCTTGCTGCTCTCTAATTGGGGAAAGCAAGGCATGAGCACGAAGGAGTTGTCCAGGATCAGAGAGCTGGAAGTCAGACTCCTGAACTGGACAACTGTTCCCTCTCCTGTCGCTGCAGGTTGGGGAACTGGTTACTATGAGGAATGCAAGAAAAGTGGTCAGGAATGTATGTGAGCATCAAGCATCAATGTATGCGAGGAAAAGCTCGGTTGCTGGGAGTGTGTGATTTCCTTCCTTCCTCCGGGGCAGTTACAGAGCAGTCCAGCTGAAATGTCCCTATTGCTGTGGGTATTTGGTTTGGCCTCTTCAAAGATACTGTTGTTTATTATTTTTTGTGGTTTACTTGTTGCCATCCGTGGGTGCACCTATGAGCCTGCTGAATAAGCTTCTCCCACTGTAGAGCAACATCATTTTCAAAAATGGGGATGAAGGGCTTTCCCTCGTGGCGCTGGCGGTTGAGGGCCGCACTGTGAAGCTGTCTGCTGTCTCTGCAGCGCCAGTTTGATCACGGCCGGCCAGCGAGGGTCCCACATGGCATGGTAGACCTCTCCTATTGCGCCCGCTGCTCCCCTCAGCAGTGTATTTCGTCAGTCGGCCTGTTCTGTTCTGTTCCCCGCTCTGTCGCTGGTGAATTCTCTCACCCTCCTGCATCTGGCCTGTACCCCGGTTTTTGTATAAATAAATAAATAGATCTTAAAAAAATTACTATTTAAAAAAAATGGGGATGAAGATCCCAAAGAAGAAGCCTCCTAAGTGACCCAAGAGTCTCTCTATGCAAAAAACCAGCACAGGAAGGAGAAGCACAGCAAGCGAGGCACTATTATTAGGGTGAAGTACACATTTTCTTTCCCCTTTTAAAACTGTGGTATTGGTGCGTGTGGGGTCTGCCTGCAGGAGGAATTGGCAGCAGGTTCAGGAGGCTTGCCAGGCTCGCTATCCCTCACCATCCATTGCTGAATAATAGAGGATGGCAAAATGTCCCAAGGTTTTGACTTCCAGCTCTTCCCTCTGGAGGACATAATGACACCTGCCCATGGTCTCAATCAAAAGCATGAATCAAAACATTTTGGTTCTGTTTCTTTTGATCTAATTGGGCCTCAAAGTTCTGTGCCGAAGCCCATCATGACCAGAAGAGCTGTGGAATACTCTGGTTATTCCTAGCAACAAAGATAAGCTGTTCCCATTCACCCTAGAAAATGACCCAAAAAGGGGGTCAGGAAGAGTTTTCAGTGGAGGAGGAAATGTGTTACTAAGGAGTATGGACTGCTACATGGAGAGGCCCTGACTAAACTAAATTACAACTTGAGGGATTGTTTCCTTTCTTCCCTTCCCCTTTTCTTACTATCTTTCACTTACCTGCCCCCCACTTGACCCCAGCTCTCTCTCCCACTCACCTCCCCATGCCAGGGGAAGAGCAATCTACTCCAAAGGGGAAGCTGTAAGGATCCAATAAGGCACTGATACAAAAAACCAACCTTGGGCCCAGTCATTCCAGGGTCCTGCCACCACTTCCCCTCCCAGGAACTCACACAATGGGGGAGAGCCTTCCCTGTGTGGTGGTATCTCCTGGGCCAGGGGCCCAGGCTGGTCTTACTCTAGCTCCCTCTTCCACCACCCCCAGGCCAGTAGGAGCCTGAGAAAGGTGCAGGGCCCATCTTGATATGGCTCTTCACTTGAGGGGTAATGAAAGGGAGTGGCTGTGGGGGGATGCACAGGGAGGACGGGAAACAAAGTCGGGGTAACAGGGGCCAGAGTGTTGATATAAGCCCTGTGTGAACCAGGGAGACGTCATTCTCCCACCCACCAGAACACACACCACATGGGTGTCTGCACAAGGGCTGGGTCCAATCTCCTCAGAGGATGAATGTTTACCAAGGCCTGAGGCTGCAAGTCTACCTTAGGGAAGAAGTGTTATTGCTTTTTTTTTTCTTCATCTTTCCAGTTTTGCATTTTTAAAAAGTGGAGCTGGCAGTTGAAAATGCCTGGAGGGTTTTCACAGCAATTATTCTAAATAGTTAAGTGGTGTCTATTAGTTGAAAAGGGTTACTTTTTTTTTTTTTAAAAAAAAAAGAAAACAATATGCTACTGTTTAAACACCAAAAAGCACTTAACTGCTTGCTCCTAGGAGTTTCCTGAGGTTCAAAAGCACAGTTGAAATTCCTCAAAAGGGCCCTACCTGGCGGCAGGAAATGGCTAGAGAGGCTCTCTGACTGTGGTTGAGCGGGAGGCTTTTGGCCAAGTTGCATAGAGCCTGCCCTCTTGAAGAATTCATCTCATTCCCCACTCCGTAGCCCTAAAAGCAAGTCCCTACCTGTGTGTGGTGCCTTCCCACCATCCAGTTCTCAATCCCTGAACTTCAAGATCCAGACAAGGGCCCTTGTCCGAAGTAGGCCAGCGCCCAGCTTGGAGAAGTTTGATCACGGCACAGTCCTGCTCAGTCCCAGAAAGGAGCTTACCTTACTCTGCTTCCTGTCCAGATAGAACTGGTGTTGGCTGATGGCCATAGCCCAGATGGACTTGATTAATGCTGGACACGCGTACCACGTATGTACCGCTATGCCACTGTGTCCAAATGTCCTCCTTGTCACTGATGCCCTGGGAAAGCAAGAGTCAGGAGGTTAAACCAAATTTATGATGAGGGAAACCACTGTACAGACAACGGCTTTTTCTGGGAACCTACTGGGTGCCAGAAGTCCTGGTGTAAAGGTGACAGATAAGAGGGCACATATACACGTACGCACATACACAGACTTACACGGACACACACACTTGCTTTAGGAACTGGCTGGAATAGGCCTTTTTATTTTTGAAATAAAAACTGTCTCTATTTAAGGTGTGAAATGGGATGATTTGATGTACATATACTTAGTGAAATGATTACAAGTCAATTTTTTATTATTTATTTTTTTATTTATACAAGCACTGGGTATAGTCAAAAGCACGGGAGGGTGAGAGGATTCACCAGAGCCAAAGCGGGGAACAGAACAGGCAGACTGATGAAATACACTGCTGAGGGGAGCAGCGGGCACGGCAGGAGAGGTCTGCATGCCATGTGGGACCCTCAGCGGTGGCAGGGCAGCTCAACCGCTGCGCCAACAGGGGAGGCCCTAGTCAAGTTATTAATGTATCACTTCCTCACATAATTGTGCATGTGAGAAGAGTCCCTGGAATCCACTGTTAGCTCATTTCTAGTATTCACTATGGTATTATTAACTATATCCATCATGCTGTACATTATAATGTATATTATAATGCTCTACTTTCTCATCCTAGAGAGCTGCTACAGCTTTTTACCCTCTGACCAATATCCTCCCATTTCCCCAACCTCCCAGTTCCTGCCAGCAGTTCTACTCTCTGCTTCTATGCATCTGACTTTAGATTCTATCGACATGTAAGTGAGAGAACACAGTCTTTTCTTTCTGTGTCTGACCTAGTTCACTTGGTGTAATGTCCTCAGTTCCATCTGTGGTACTGCAAGTGCAGAATCTCCTTTTTAAAGACTAAATAATATTCCATTGTATAAATACACCATAATTTATTTATTCATCTGTCAACAGACACTTAGGTTGTTTTCATATCGTGGCTATTGTAAATAGAGCTAATCTTTTGATTCACTGACTTGAGTTTAGAATCTGACCAAGTCACTGCCTTGTCTGGGTTTAGAGGGGTCATTTCAGGTCACTGAATAGTCTTCTCTGAGCTTCAGCTCCTGGCAATGGGCCAAGACAAACTTCAGAGACAGGAAAAACCCTCTGACAAGGTCCTTCACTAACCAAGCAATTCTGCCTATGGTAAAAGATGAGTACAGTTTCTTCTAATTAGCACAGGTCACGGCATCGGAGGGGATCAAGACTTATGTCCCTCTACAATATTCCTTGAAGGAGTTGGTTACCAATTTCAAGAATCTTCAGAGGCTGCAGGGTGTGAAGGATCAAGAGAGGGAAGAAAGGAGTCCAGTCAGGCCCTTCCCACCTCCTACCTCCACATTTACGGAGGAGACATGGAGCAGACATGTCTGAGTAGAGGCAAGTGGACTTTAGAAATGAAAGTGGGAAACACAGGTCATAATAGAACTCAACACATGAATAAAGGGTTGGGACTGGAAGAGCTCTATGTTCATATTCTGAGGGAAGTATACTTTATGGGCTGGAGCAATCATTTTACAAGTGAAATCTGAGAATGTGCATGCGTGTGTGTGTGTGTGTGTGTGTGTGTGTGTGTGTGTGATTGAGAGAGAGAGAGAGAGAGAGGCAGAGAGAGAGAGAGACAGAGAGAGAGAGAGACAGAGAGGGACTGGGTGGTGTGACAGTGGGGTGAGTTTTGGGGTTTATGGTAAGTATATCAGGAGGAAAATGTGTGTTCTCAAGATTATGGAATTTAGAAGAAACCTGGGCTAGTCACTATTTGGCTTTTTTTTTTTTTCCCATGGCAAATTTTCCCTTGAAGAAAATTTAAAGCCACATACTTTGGGGGCTAAGGATTTAACAGTAGGTTTTCTTCATGCCCACTTTAAGGAGAATTTCAAATCTGGCGGTTAGTTAATGATAATGATTTTAGGCAGGGTTTTCCTCCTTTTGGTTAAAACATCAGCTAAGAAAGAAAATGCCAGTTCATGAAAGAGCACACGGTTGGAAAGAATGGAAAAGGCGCCAGAGAATGAGTGAAGAGGAGTGAAGAATGAGTGAAGAAGCCCCGCACCCTCTGTAGGTTTAAAAAGAAATTGCGACTTGAATCCCCACTTTGACTGTCATAGCCATGGCAGCTCCTGGGAGAAAATTCATTTCCCCCCAAAAAAAGCTGAATTGGAAAAGAAAAGTAAGCTGGAATGCATCTGAGTGCAAGTAGTGAGCGTTGCACCAGGCCGGGCACTTAGATTTTCCAGGTAGGGCGCAGGGCAGGGGCCGGGGGGGAGGCACACAGTCTACCAGGTCTGGGCAGTTCTGGGGCAGCATCTCAATCAGATGCTGGGGAGCCTCTCCTGCTCCATTATTACTTTATCTCTTCTCTGCATCTTCCCTTCAGGCTCTTCCCAGCCCCCTCATTTTTCTATTCTGCTTAAACCTTAGAAATGGGACATTTGCCAGGTGCAGAGAAGCACAGGCTCAGAGTTAGGAGGCACAGGCAGGAGAGCAAGTGCCACAGCATCAGGGATCCCTAGGGAAAGCCCCCACAGAGCAGGCTGCAGCCCCACCTGCACCCCAGGATGCAGGCCATGCCCTCTGTCCTGACAGGCACCTCTTCCGTGCCAGGCCCTTTGAACGGGTCTTCATGGCAGGGTTCTCTCAAGCCCTTGCCAACTTGTTACCTTGGTTCAGACTCCCTTCCAGGCCTGGGGCAGGGCTGATCCCTGGGCCCTCAGGTTTGTTAATTAGGTGACTCTTCCCTGCACCAACTAAGGCAACAGCAATAGGATGCCATATTTAAGGAGCACCACCAGGCTGTGAAAAGTGTACTTCCTGCCATGCGTGAGGCAAGGTCAGGCTTTGGCTCAGCCACTGGTGTAAGCAGCTGACCCAAAGCAATTCCTCAGGCTTGCTTGGTACATTTGCAAAAAGTGTCTTTAAAACTGGCGCAAGGGGTTAAGCACAGCACTATGAAGATATCCGCAGCCTCTGCAGCATGAGTTCGATCCCCGGTCAGGGAGGTAACCCACATGGCCCAGCAGACCTCTCCTATCTCCCCCGCTGCTCCCCTCAGCAGTGTATTTCAGTCAGTCTGCCTCTTCTGCTCCCCCACTCTGTCTCTGGTGAATCCTCTCAGCCCCCACACCTCTGGCCTGTACCCAGTTCTTGTATGAATAAATAAATAAACCTTTAAAAATTAAAAAATAAAATAGGGCCTCCCCAATGGTGCAGCGGTTGAGTGCTGGGCTGCGAAGCTGCCCACAGCCTCTGCAGCGCCGGTTCCATCCCGGGCGGCCGGCGAGGGTCCCATACGGTGCGCAGACCTCTCCTGCCGTGCCCACTGCTCCCCTCAGAAGTTTATTTCGTCAGTCTGCCTGTTCTGCTCCCCGCTCTGGCTCTGGTGAATTCTCTCAGCCTCCTGTGCTTCTGACTGTACCCAGTGCTTGTATAAATAAATAAATCTTTAAAAAAAATTAAAAAATAAAACTGATGTGGACTAGGTCTCCTCCACCCTGGCCTCTCTTTGCCTCCCCTCTCCCTGCCCTGCGCACCTGCAGGCTAACAGAAGGCTACTGTCCTGGAGGGGACATGATCACACTGGGCTGCCTCCACTGCCCTCTTTCACCCCACCTGACCCACATCTTCATCCCACTGAAGGGCCACTTCATGATCCTTTGAGGTTCAGCTCTCCTCACCAGCCTGGCTTCTGACGACCTGCACCTGTGAGCACTTGGGACCCCCGGGCATTGCTGGCTGCCTTGGGTATAGTGCACAGGTGTGGTACATAAGCATGGGACTCCTGGGTTCCCATTCTGCCTCTACCACCTGCCAGTTGTAAGTTTGAGCAGGTTTCCCTCATGCAGAACAGGAGTAGGACCCATTTCCCAGGCTTACTGAGACCCCCAGGAAACGGTGCGTCCCAGCGTTTAGAAGGGAGTCTGCATGCGGCAAGCACTCAACAGACAGTAAGCTCCCTCTCTGCCTGTCACCCCAATGGAGTGAGATGCTCTTTAAGGACAGAAGACCTGTCTCGGACTTCCCTAGATATTCCCACTCACCCAACAGTGCCTGGACACAGAGCTACTCCACACATGTGAGACAGTCCCGTTCCCTGTGATTGGCCAGAACCGTGCTACTGTATCCTGTGAGGTTGGGGCCCTTTCTTATATCCATGGGCCTTGGGGAAGGGAAGGAGGGAAGGGAATTCAGGGCTTTGTCATAGATAGAGTCACAAGGCCCAGGAAAACACACACACACACACACACACACACTCTCTCTCTCTCTCTCTCTCTCTCTCTCTCTCTCACTCACTCACAAATCCATACACGTACATGCAGGATTTGTCCAAGGTGTCACTCTAAGTTCCAAGAACTCCCCACAGAGCGTGGACCAGGCAGAGTCTGTCTGTCCCTTATGCTCAGCCTCTGAGATGATTAGCCTCTAGCTTTTACCCTGTCAAGTATCCCCTTTCTGTGTCTGACCCATGGTGACACATTCATTGCCTTCTTTTTACATGTAAATTTCCCCTCCCCTCACAGCCTAAAAATCTGCTGAGACAACAGGGTTCACCTGGAAAAAGAACAGCGTGTTCCTTCTGGGCTGGAACACCATTTCAGCACCCCTCTCTCCCCCACCTGGCTTGCAGGAATGACTGACTGCTCCTCTGAGGCAGGGACTCCAGGCTGCAAGATGCTTTGCCAGACCCTGAGAAATGCTAGACAAGTGTTCTGCTTAACGCTACCAACTCCACCCACTGCGGAGACACAGAACCCCTCAAACGCTCTCCACTTCATCTGGTGGAGTAGCTGTGGGCGTGGGCAAGCCCTTCCCCTGCGGAGTGGCTGTTTCACACAGATTACATGTGGGCCGAGCAGCACATCTGGGTTATCACCAGCTGCAGGACGGAGCCTACTGCACAAGCCACAGCCTCCCAGAGTGGGTGGAAGCTCTGCTCTTGCTCAGAGCACCCCGGAAGGCAGGGCAGCTTGTTTGGAGGGCTCAGGGCCATGCCAGGCCAGGGTATCCAGGGCACCCAAAACACACTGGCTCCTGGGTAGCATCTGATCCTTTCACTGTCTTCCCAAGACTACCTTTTTGTTGTAAACCTTTTTTTCCCCCCCTATTACCAAAGGCAATATATTCTTAGGTGTCATACCTGTTTTTAGCAGATTTTGCTGCCTCTTCTGGGCTGCCTACAACTCTAGCAGACAAAGAGAGGAAAAGCAGTGGGTACACACAGTCTCCAGAACCTTCCACAAAGGGCTCGCTGCATTCCAAGTCAGGACCCTATTGTTTGGCATCTGACTGAGAGAGCATTGATTTTTACACTCCTGCTCTCTGGGATAAAGTGAAGTGGAAAGAAAAAGAACTGTAGTTCTCACATCACTGACACTTTCAAATCCCAGTTCATGAAGGGAACAGATTTAGCACAACTGCTGCAGGGATCCATTCCTCCTGGTTTGGACCATCTGACCTGATGTGAAAGCCTCAGCGGTTCTGGCTCTGACAAGCCATCCTTCAGACTCTCTTCTCAGCAGAACTTCCTACTGCAACACAGTCTACTGGCCTTGTTTAATCTGGTGTCTCTTACAAAGTGCTACAAATCTTCCCTAAAACATCCAGCACGTGAAAGACAACTGTACGCATATGAGCAAGTAACGCATGTAGCAGAAGCGATGAGCATGAAATTGTTACACACACACACACACACACACACACACACGCACGCACGCACGCACGCACGCGCGTGAGTGTTTTTGGAACATGCACGGCACGGCATGAAACAATGCTTGAACTCTTGTTCTCTAGATCCGTCTCCTCTCCCCGCCAAAACCAACAGGAACAATGACAGCACAAAAACTGTGAAATAAGTAACATGCCCCCGCAAGCAAGGCACCCCCAGAAGGAAAGGACTTTTGGGCTTACCTGCGCGGGTCATGCACTTCCACAGAAAACTTCTTTTCTCTGAAATACAGGTTTTCCAACTGTCTCCATTGGAATATCTGGACAGAAAACAATGCGGTTTAAATTCAGGGGAGTCTGGTTCCAGCTGCAGTCCTCGCTCCGTGGCTGAACTTGTGCAGCTGGCAGTTAGTTTCCTTATCAAAGCGTAGAGAGTTGTTCGTGCCTTCTTCTCTGCCCCTTACTGCACACACACACATGCACACACACAGCTCTCCAGTTCAAAATCAGGCAATGTGGGTGTGGATTTTCCTGCAGGTTTCTTATCGGGAACAAAACAAGTTCTTTTCAAGTTGTTCCCCTTCGGCCGGCCTTTGTTGAATTCTCGAAGACAGTTCCCAGCTCGGCAGACTTTTCCCTCCAAGGAGGGGAGTGGGGGGGAGACCCAGTCGCAGAGGCAGCGGGCGGGTGGGAGAGGGAGCGGGTGCTCTGGAGGCAGCGGTCGGTCGCCTGCTGCTGCGGCGCTGAACCAGCTTCCTCCCTCCAGTGCTGAAATGGGAAGGCGGTCAAATTCCCAGCCTCCCGTTGGGACTCCACTTCCTGCCCACTAATATGTGAGAGCTCTGACTCGCCAGGCTGCTTCGGGAAGGCTTGGGAGGCTTCCTTGTGGAGGGCGGGGGTTGCTGACCTTATTTCGGGGCCGGCAACTCCAGATAACAATATGAGCCTGTCCTGAGCTGTGCTACTTTCTGCAGCTCAAAGAATATCCAGAGCCAGGCTGCCCTCGGGACTCGGCAGCCAGAGGCTGGCTACCAGGGACGTGCAGGGAGGGCAGAGGCGGGCTAAGTTAAGGCATTCTGAAAAGGGGGGGTGGTGAGAAGGCTCCTACTACTGCCAGTGGGGCAACCCTGTTCACTGAGAGGCTGACCACAGCATTTGGGAGTAATTGGGGCTCCAGCATTGCTCTGGGAAGGGGGAGTTCCTCTTAGATGAAAAAGAAAGTTATTTCATCTTCTGGAAAATGTCAGAGGTTAGTTATGCATGCATATGCATTATATTTATTTTTTTATTTATCTATTTGCAAACTGCATCCCCTCTATACACTGAAGTTTTGAGTTTATTTTGCCTGAGGATAAAGCAGGAATCCAGTTGTCCCTCAGCCTGGGGAGTAGCTGGTTCCTCCCTAGGGTCTTCCCTTTCTTTGCCCACTGCACTGAAGCAGAGTCATCTCACCTCGCTTCCTGCCCTCTTGGAATTTGCCTCTTTAAAGGTGTGATGGCAATTTTCCTGGGTGCTATTCAGGGAGGTGCTACCCCTCCCTTCCCAGGGCACTGCTAGGCAGGGTCTGGCTAAAAGATGTCACCCCCTTGTCAAAGAGGGCTAGAACAGCTGGCTGCATTCTTTTATTCTCACAACCTGCTTGGCAGAATTTTATGGGTTATTTTTTTTTGTCTGTGTATAAGTAACAGGGAGGAGGACTAGCTCTTACCAAAGAGCCCCCTATTATCCACAGCTCAAAGCACACTTCTCTCTGCAGCTCAAGAAGGTTATACTTTTCTTTCTCCTGTAGGTTCTATTCCAAGAGAGTGCAGAGACATTTCAAGGAAACAAGTGGTCCAAAGCCCTCTGCTGGCTCAATTCAGTCTAGGATTGGGTCACAGGTAAAATGCCACCCTTCATTACCCAAGCCACAGGTCTGAGTTTCCCATTTCTATTCAAGCTCTGCAAAGCTAAATCCCTCGACAAAACACCCCCAGTTTCTCTCCAACCCTCATTGTTAGATATTTATAGACCTTCAACCTGAACTCAGCCACAACCAGAAAAGCACCGTAACTAACAGATTCCCAGACACAGATGTCCTATCTGCAAGTAACACACAGAACAGAGTGGCCAAGCACACAACGTCCGAATCTAGGCTCCCCTGCTTCCGATCTGTTTGACAATGGGCAATGGATAGCTTTTTCTTCAGCCTCAATTTTCCCACCTGTAAAATGGCAACAGTGCTTCCCTCTCCCAGGCAGATCTTAGATGCAACAGATCCTCCACGAGGCATGGACAAAAGCACTCACTTTGAACCTAGGTCTTACTATGATTCCTGATTTTTCTTACTTCTCCCAAAGCCTGACAAACCAAAGAGATTAACTCCAGAACAACCAAAATCAGTCTTTCCTTACATTTCCTAACTCAAGTCCTGATAGTGGGGTTGGAAATCCTTCAGGAAGTGCAATTATTCCCTGGCCCTTCTCTCTTTTCCCTTTCCTCTGCAGGAGACAGCGGTAGACATCTGCTCTGAGGCCCGCCCTGAGCCCCAGGCCCGCACTGCAGCCCCCTTGGCTACCCTCACGTGCGGAGCGTGAGCTGAGCTGGAAGGGCTCTGGGCTTGGTTTAATGCTCTGTGGTCTCCATCTTGAAATTCTCAGTAGGTCTTGATCAAAGGGCCCCAAAACTGTTGCTGGGCCAGGCCAGGTCTCTGGCCCCTGTTTATGCTCCTGGGCTGGGAAACACTTGGGCTAAGACTCCCAAGGAGCAAAGAGGAAAAGAGGCCCAACCTGGTGTGGGAGGTTTGGCCCTCTGTGTGAAGCCCCTCCCGCTGGTGAGGAACCTCGGAGCAAATGATCTGAGGGGTTACTTCCCTGGCAACTCCTCCCTCCTTGCAAAACACAACACAAACCGAGACTTCCCTGTAAGTGCTCCCGGATGCTGTTTGGTGTGGAGAGCTTTGCAGCTGCCAACCAGCCCAAACAAAGCCATCTGGCTCCGCTGCAGTCTTCGTCCTGTGAACCCTGGCGGCCCCGCTCCCGGGCATCTCCCTAGGATGATGTACTGTCTGTAGACGTTTCCTAACAGGGTGCAGAGTACTGGCTTTCCCTGATGTCTGCTCCTCCATAGATGCTCTTTTCTTTTTCTTTTTTGGCAAATGAAGTACTGGGAAGGGAGGGTGCAGTGAGGTAGATGGATGGATGGCTTTTCAGGACAGGGTTGTTCATGTGGGATTTTAGCAGGGTCCCAGGAACTAAAAAGGAGGCGTTCATGTGGGAACAGTGACCTGGTCCTTTTCACTTAGGGGGGCAACAGGGGGTAGTCAGGCAGTCAGATGTTACCATGAGATGGAGACAAATACTTCACCTCTTCATGGGAGGCTGGGTGTTTCTGCCTTGGAATCCTGTGCCCTACAACTTAGAGGCCCAGCAGGCTACACCCTGCAGTCTGAGGCTGTTGGAGTGAAAACCAGCAAATAAACAAGACACTTGACCTTGCCAAACAGGGCACACTGCGGGGGGCAGTTGGGGGGGGGCATGCTTCAGGACAGGGTACATGGTTTGGGGGCAGCCCCTGGTGATCTGTGCCTCTGCCTCCCCGACTCTTAGTGCAGTTATCACAGGCCCAACAGCAGGAACAGATATCAAGGTGTGTGCCACTCCATACAAAGACTCATTAGACAATGAGAAAGGACTGAGCAAGCTCCCTTTGGATTCTGTGTAACTCTATGGCCAATTATGCCCAAGTAGCTAATTAAAAACTAAAATATATGGGCCTATCAATAATCAAAGGCTATATTAATTAACATCTATTAATAAGACCTTTCTAATGTACTTCATCTGTGCATCTTTAAAAGGCTGTGCAAACCTCTCTTCTTTGATCTTTTAGCATCCCCCAACAAGAGTGAGTGGGGGATTTTCCTTTTGGGGAAATTGCCAAAGGCCACACAAGCCAGAGAAGGCACCAGAAATAGAAATCAAGTAATGGGCACCTGGCCCATTACTCTAGCCTCTAACTATGTTCCCTTCCACATGGGTCCACCAATTAGTGGGAACAGTTCTTACTCACCAATGGGTGGTTAACTTTATGAGTGGAATGATTTTTATAAATAAGCAGCTATGTGACTGCAAGTAGAAATATAAAACCAAATCTGTTCAGTCCTATACAATGGCTTTTCTTCCCTGTCATGAAGTAAATGAGAACAAGTATCACTTCTTCCTCTTAGAAACCTGGGTTCCTCTGGTTTTCTGCATAGGGATTCCTCAGTATTCCAGAGTTGTCCATCAAGAACAAGCCACAATAATCACAATTAAGAGAAAGTCTTAATCATCTGGGCTTGCCCAAAACAGAGACATGGTCTCACCATGTGGGCACCATGTCTGGCACTAGAGATGGACCTTAGCTTCTCACCTAGCCCAGCCTGCAGATACTAAATAATCACAGGTTCTCCCTCTCCCCTTGCTGGGCCTCAGTGTCCTAATGTATAAAACAGAAGATGGCAAATGTTTATCCAAAGAGAGTAAAGCCGAGTGGCTAATAAATCCTGCCTTTGAGCCCTGAGTGCAAGCGGGTACATTAGTAATTAAGGGAACGGGCTGCTTACTGGATCTATTAGCTGGTCTGCTGGATCCCCGCATCCTGAGTACAGCTGACTGGCAGGGCAGAAAAGGACTTATGTCCCCTCATCCCACCCTGCAGGGCTGGACGAAGGGGCCTTGACCCATGGCACTTCCTCCAGAGCTAGTGTTTACTGAGAGCTGGTACAACATGTGGGTGGTGGGTGAGCTCTTGGAATGATGCGGAAATAAAGGCTTGAGAGGAAGCTTGTTCTAGTGGCTCAGATTCTTGACCAGGACTTCAGGGAGCCTTGTCTTCCTCTGGTCCCTGAGGCTGAGTCACCAACCTCTTAATGACCTCCTTTGAGTAACTTCCTGCTTCTCCTAGAGGGGCCATTATACAGAATTCCAGCAGCCGTCTGGCCTGGCCTCCCCCACCCACAGATAAAGCAAGCCCATGGAGAGAGGTTTAGAGATTGGCAGAGGTTAAATAAGTAATGGATGTCGGGACCCACTCTGTCCTGAGCTCTACTACACCAGCAATCTCCCAGGATGAGCCAGAGCAAAGTAAGTGATCATTTCTTCAAAGCTCCTGGCAGTTAAATGATGCCACATGCCATCCAAACTTCAACAGGGAGTGCTCTTTTCAGAAGAATTAGACTCATAACCAGGAATGGTCTACAAGCTCAGAATACAACACACAAACTAAAATACTTCCTTAGTTTATTGCTGTTCTGTTCACTTTCTTAGAAGGACTGTCATTCACCTAATCTCTAAGTGCATTG